TTAGTTATTTGTGTGTGTGTGTGTGTGTGTGTGTGTGTGTGTGTGTGTGTGTGTGTGTGTGTGAATTTCTTTGTCCCAATGGCGCAGGAACCGAGAGAGCTCCCCCCCCAAGTTTGTATAGAAGCAAACGGGAATGGTCACCCTCAAGTAGAAGAATTCCTATTAATACCAAAACAACAACGAGAATTTCATCTACAGGTTTTAAGTTTTTATTAGATACTACTTACTCAATAACAATATCCTTAATAGTAAGTTTTTTTCTGGTAACTTCACTTCGTTGAAAATTGTTCCCTCTGGCAAAAAGATGTTCCTAGACCACTGCTTTATTCACATAAAAACTGGCTTCAAATCAAACCAAGGCTAGAGATAATCCTGCTAAAGAGATTAACATACACAGTTGTTGTAGTCAGGTATATTAAATTCAATGATAAATCCAACTTTATATTTTAGAAAACACTATAGCAGAGGTTCCCAAACTAATGAATGAACATTTGCTGAAATTATTATCAATACTATAAGTGCAGCTACCAGTTTGGCCACCAATTTTGATTTCATTCTTTTAAGTCTCACGCTCAATCCTTTTTTGGCTGCAGCTTTTTTTCACACCTAAGGTGATTTGATTAGATGAAATTTGTAAAAGTAACACTGTAAGTGTTTAACTAAGCCTAAAGGCAATCAAGATGAAATGTCTCATGAAGTCATCATCAGCCATCAGCGTTGCATGTAAACAATTAGGTCTAGCCCTACAGTGACCATTTTAAAGATCAGTAACACTTTGTGTATTTTTTGTAGTAGTTGCTATTTTACTTTTAGCTTAATTGCTTTTCTTCCTTTAAAAACAGACACCACTTTCTATAACAATAAAGTTATACAGATTAAAAAAAACATTTGTTGTAACAGACCATATTAAAAAGTAATATCCTTAACCAAAATGACAAATCCAGCTGACATTCTGAAGAAGACAGAACAATGTTCTGACAAAACATGTAGTAAGTCCCCCCCCCATAAATAAGCCACTTCATTATGCTTATAAATGATTACTTGCGAATTTATTATTAACATGACGTGATGATAAATTTTTCAAACAGTTTCTTACAATTAAATGTGGTTTGCTTTGTTTTATCCTTGTGACCTGATAAATTATCCTAAATCAGATAACTTAAGATGGTTGTAACTATTATGTTTGGTTAAAATACAATTTAACTTAAGGCAGTTTTATTTTTCTAACAGGGTGGTTGGACTCTGGATGTTGTGGAGGCAGTGAGTTTAAAAGAAAGCTTGATAACTATGTGAATGATAAGGACTGGCTTTAAGAGATTTATAATTTATTTAATAGTTTTTAGTTTAGTTTAGAAGATGGGATAGCAGAGATGGATCAATAGGTATCTTGTTGTCCCTAAACATTGCATCATCATTAAGGTTTAATAATCATTTAGGTCTTTATACAGTTTATGATGATGATGATGTTCTTTAGAACTGATTTTTAGGTTAAGGCAAAATCAGTTCCAAAATGTTCATGAATAATTACTTAATGGTAAGAATAGTCTTTCTAGCTTTTGTTTTCTCACTATTTTACTCAACAGAAATAACAGTCTTTTCCACTGATGTGTTTTCTTTACAATGTGAGTCCCCATCTTGAAAACTAAAAAATAAAATTCCACTGGATACAGTTTATCTAGCAATCATTTGTATTGACCAATCTTTACGATATTCTACTGTAACACTTTCCAGAATTGTATCTTATCAAAATTATATTTTGGGTGCATTGCTCTCACCTATTAAACTGAAAAATAATTGGGTCCTGTGTTTTCTGGAAGAAACATTGAAAAACTTCAGCTGTGCCTGTCTAATCTGTATGAAACATTTCCCACTTTTGCAAATAAAATTAGAAAACCAGGCTTTCAAAACAAGTAATTTTACCTCTCTGGGCACAAACTGACATTGACAAATTAAAGATCATGACCAGTAACAGCTAGATCCATAATCAGTTTATCTTGACATTCACTACCTAAGTTAAACTAGACAAAAGATCAGTGGAACTCACTGGTCATAGATCCCCCAACTCATGTCCTAGTTGACACTGACTATTCAAGATCAACTAATCCAAACAGCAGTAGCAAATAGATCCTCATCCACACATACATGACGATGACCACTTACAGTCAAAGGTCACCTCCATATAAATGAACAGTTTCCACATGAGCTCAAACCTGTGTCAATAGAGAGAAAAGTAAAATCAATCTTAATTGAAAATGAGAAGTGGATTCCATGTTTCTATTAACCCTTAACAACAAAGTCATTGATGGTTCACGAAATAAAACTAATTTTTCATATGTTCTGTTAGTAAATTATATTACATATTTTATTTTGTTGATTTAATTTACAAGATTTAGGTTAACCCTAAATCCATCTTTTAGCCATATCTCATGGGATTACTGCTGAAGATGTCAATTAATTACATTGAGGACATTAATAGAATAATTAATGCACTCTAGTTATTACAAGTTTTTGGTTTCATAATATTGTATGCTCCTAGTTAGACTGGTATAGTTAATTTTCAGTCCTCATTTATCTAAGTGGCTTGCTTTGATCAGAAGTGGTTTACAATGCACACACACACTGAAGTCTAAAGCATGCCTAATTATCAATAAGAGCTACAAGTTGCACATACTACACACTGGCAGAGACTGTAAGGTTAGATGCAGAATACTTACTTACAAGTGAAGAAATTCCATGCATGTTATATAGGAAAAGAAAAACTGAAATCAGAAGATCAGAACCAGAAATATCATCTTCCAGTATGTCCCAATCACTGACAAGAGTAATGGTTTTTGCTTCTCCTCTTAAAGGTACGACTGACTGTAAACTGTACTGTGTCTGAAAAGGAGAGAGAAAAAACGTTACCACATTATGAAGCAATTTCAAACAAAGATTTGATTTTAACGTTAACACATTCCTGCACACATACACACACATACAGACATTAGGTTTTAAACAAATCCCAAAATGTGCCATACATCATATACCAAAAGCTCATCAAAAATTAAGAACGAAAAATTATTAGTACATTCACTTGTTATCAAAATGTTACTAATTTCAATGAGAGATATAAAAAACAAAGTCTGCCTCAAAAAACGGCCATTAGCAGATGTTTCTACAATCATTATTTGGTGTGATTTTGACGTTTTATTTATATTCAACAAAAAATTCGGAAGATTGGACAACGTACCAGACAAATTCGTTGAAAGCTGCTAAAAATGTTTATACTACAACTAAAACAGTTGTAATTTTAACCCTTCCAAAACTTTCATTTGGGATATACTTAATTAACTACTACTTTGAGTTTCACTTTTGACCCACATCTGCCAGTTGTGACCAATCAACTTTTCTCTCCAATATGGCTCAACTGAAAAACGTTTCTTATAATAGAAGAAAAAGAAAAGGGAGACAACAGATAATGTTGTAAATTTAAGTTTTTATCCATAAATTATTCTTTTGCTACATGTTGTTAAGTTTCTTCAAAGTATTCTTGAATTGTAGATGTTTTTGCTTATACAGGAAAAACAAAACAAAAATGGCGGAATTTAAATATCCAAAATCGTTGGCTGTATAAACAAACAAACTCGACGAAACTGTTACTGTTTATTAGACAGTCAAAACAAATATTTAAATGTTACCCGCAAATTATTATTTCCATATACGTGTCAGTTCTAAATTATACTCATCGCCATGACAACCTTTACGGAAAGAGAACGTAGTTTCTGCACAAGGAACACCAGCTACGTCTGGTTGTACACTAGTTCATATACTAAAAGTAATAATGTTATTTTGAACAAATGTTGTAGCACTAATTACGTAAACATCAATTTGGTTTATGCCCCCGCCCCATTCATTACCTAGGTTACTAAGAGCAATTTTCTTTTATTTATTTGTGATAAATTATAGTATTTTTAACAAAATTAGTCTTATTTTTGAGATAACTTGGCAACTTTACACTTGTTAGGCTTACACACCCATCTTGACACACAAAGAAACACGTTGACCAATACAAGAAAAATCACAAATAATTCGAGTTTTCATTATTTTGTGTTAATGAAATCAACTTTTGTTTGGGAGGGGGGAGTACGTCAGTTTTAGGATACAAAGAACTACGGAAGGTGGGTGCGTTATATTATCCTCGACGCTTGTTCAGCTATCTTTTTGGAACTATTTGAGAGGTTGTTTTTGAGATTTGAACAAGTTAATGATGTCATCATTCAGTACTTAAATGTTAACACTAAACTGACTACAACATTATGTAATATGAATTGTCACTCTTTGCATCACTATTACTATGATAAAGACAGCATCAGAACAAGAAAGATAATAAAGAAACTTTCAAAATATCAATACAACAAACGCAATACTTAAATATTATAAGCTCTTCAATACATTGACTTGTTACCATATGGAATAACGAATGGCATGACATCAATACAAATATTCTAATTTATTATTACTTACACTTATTGCTGATATATTAACACTTTTAAAATACCCATTAATTATCGTTTAAACAGTAGATCAAATAAAGGCGATTTAAAATACTACTTTATTATCGTATAAACAATAAACAATGGGTCATTATTTCACGATAATGGTTGTTATGGCCTAAAAATGTAATATAAATCAGTGTTGTGCACTTTACAACTTAGTTAAAACTTCAGAAGGATCTGAATACACTGTACATGTTCAAATAAGATTTAAATATATATATAGCACACAAGTTATCTGCATATTGTCTATTCAGTGTACTTTTGATCTTTAGATGGCGTACCGTTTAGATATGCTAATCAAAACTTTTTTTCCCCCGATTAACTTGAACATATTTGATCCCTTCTCACCCTGTAAAGTCTATCAGAAGCATAGGTACATTTTGGTGGTCACTCCATTCTGCCCAAAAATGTTAAACGATATTTCTGTAATGTACTGGGCGAAATAGATAATTAGCAGCCATTACTGATGGACATAGAATTACAAATGTTTTAATGTTTAGTTAGGCATCTGAGCTGTACACGTCACACCTCCTAGCTGTTAATGTTGAACACAGAATTATATACGATTAGTTATACACGTGATCTGTAGAAGTCTTACCTCCAGTTTATAACAATTAACACAGAATTATATACGATTAGTTATACACGTGATCTGTAGAAGTCTTACCTCCAGTTTATAAC